ATATTGGATCAACATACGTAGTAGCAATATAGGGGTTTAGATTTTTTTAGGAAAAAACAAAGTTGAAGTTAATAAGAAAACGGCGGACGGCGGACGGATGAATTTTTTTTATCCAATTTTCGAATTCTATGTATCCTGAAACGTAAACCTCAAATTTTGATGGGGCTAACTTTTTGAATTTTTTTGTCGATTGAAATGGTTCTTTATTGAAAATAATAAACAAAATCTATTAAAATCGCGATATCTTTGGTAATAGTTGTCTGATTTCGGTGAAACATTCTTCGTTTTTTTAGGAAATTCAAATACCTTTGAAACATCTGATCACAATATTAACAAAAAAGTGTATATTTTTTGAGTTATTCGGAAATCTAATTTTACCATCCCTCGTAACTTTTTTTCCAGCTTCTTTTCGTTGAAGTATGTAATATAGATAAATTTAAAAGGCATCGAGAAGAAGACTTTAGCCTAGTTTCATTGAAATCATTGAAGCGTACATTCTTTTAGACGCTACAGTCTATAGCAACACATGTTTTTCGGCCGCCATCTTGAAAGGAAAAGACGGATATTAATGTCGATGTAGGATGATCATCCATGACTTTAAATCCCAATTTGAAAAAAAATCGGTGTAGTAGTTTCGGAGAAAAGGCGCGGACGACGGACGGGGAAAGGGCAAAAAAATTGTATTTGATTTTCGAATTCTACGTATTCTGAAACGTAAAACCTCAAATTTTGAGGGGGTTAAGTTTTTGAATTAATTACAATGGATCATAATTGAAAATAATAAATCAAAAACATTTAAAAAATTGGTCGAGTACGTCTGTGGAACATTCTAAATTTCTTCATAATTTCAAATTATATTTAAAACATTCGGTAAGCTCGTGTATTCATGCACGACAAATTCAATTCACAGTACACCGTAATACAGGATACACTCGTAAAAAAAAAATAATATACAATTAAGATTTTACTAGTGTCGAGTCTGGCGTCATGTTAACTGCATCGCGAGAGAGGAAATCATATCCACACATTTGCCAAACAGATTGAATACCAATTCGAAACTTTGACGTAAGCAAGAGGTGCCGTGTGAACTCCATCATCTTTAGATCTGAATGTTATTTCCTTTCATTAAATTCAGAGGTCGCCAAACTTTTTCACCTACGGGCTAGTGGTACCGAAAAATATCAATATATAGAGTAAAGGAACAATTATTAACATGTTACCAATTATTGACACTAGTAACTTAAATTTGATAACGGAGTTGAGCTATGGTGCTCCACTAAACCATAGAATTCCTTTCGTATCAAATCCTTACAATCCAAAATCCTTCGTAAAATCCTCAATGCTCCCTACTTTGTTACAAATAAAACCATCCATAATGACCTTAATGTTCCTTTTGTTTGTGATCTGGCCCAATCCAGATACCTATCTTTCCATAATAAACTTCAGAATCATCCCAACCCTCTCGTTTCTAACCTTGCTTCCTCTTCAATTCCTGATAACCCTCCGAGGCGCCTGAAAAGAAGATGGCCCCGTGATCTCCTAATGTAAACATATTATTAGAGTGCTACCATTGGGTAGTTACTCAGCAAGTGTTTTTCATGGCATTATATACATTATGTTCAAATTTATTAGATGTATTTATTTAATACAGTTGTAAATGTCTTTAAGAAATAAAAAAAATAAATTAAAAAAAATTGATAAAATAAGCGTTTAGGTTCATGTAGGATTTCAAAGTTGACACCATTTCAAAAGCTCATTAATCAGCTAGCGATTACGGCCAAGATGAAGCCTCTTCATTGGGTGATAAATTAGGTGGGAAACGAATAATTCTTATCAATTTACTTTATCATTATCCAACTATACAGATACCCCACTTATAGAATAACTTCTTCGTTTAATAAGTTTTGAGTTCATATTAATTAAATTGTAGTTTATAAGGCCAATTCTTGAGATTTACCTCTTTACACCTTGTGTAAAGAAATGATGTCAACTAATAGTCACCTAATAGTGCTCGTGTTTTTAGCAAATATGACTACAATCACAGGCGGATCTACGGGGAGAGGGAGCTTTCGGGTTGAAGCCCCTTCCCCCAAAACGGTTAGAAAAAATTTACTTTAAACGAAAGTAGTTTGTTATTCTTAAAACTATTTAAAGAGGACTATTTGACGGACAAACACTGATAAGTTCAGTTTTAAAAAAAAAAGTCATATATTATTTGTGATTTTTTTTTATCAACCTTAACTGTACTAAATTTACTCCACTTTTAGAATAACTTTCTCGTTTGATAAGCTTTAAGTGCATATTAATTAAGTTGAGGTTAATTTAGAAAAATTTTGAGATTCACTTCAAGAAATTGTGTAAAGTAATTACGTGATTTCCTATCCAGTCACCTAAAAGTACTCGTGTTTTCAACAAACATTATTGTAATAAATGTTGCAAAGCTTTTATTTCTTGTTTTTCCGTTTTATGGGTTGTATTTTAATAAATATAATGGCTTAAAAATACATTTTATTTATAAATATAAAAATAATGATTTTTGAAATACAAGGAAAAACAATAAATAAAAGCTTTGCAACAGTTAATTACAATAATGTTTGCTGAAAACACGAGCAGTTTTAGGCGACGGATAGGAAATCACATAATTTCTTTACACAACTTCTTTAAATGAATCTCAAACGTTTTCCAAATAAACCTCAATATAATTAATATGGACTTAAAGCTTATCGAATGTTTTTCTAAAAGTGGGGTAAATATAGTTTAGATAAAGGGTGATAACAAAAAATCACAAATAATTTAGGACTTTTTTTTAAACGGAACTTAGCTGTTTGTCCGGCCAATAGTCCTCTTTAAATAGTTTTAGCAATAACAAACTCTACTTCCGTTTAAAGCAAATTTTATCTAGTTTACTATTGGGCAATGTTTAATTACTTAAATCTAATATTTTTTAAGTTATCATTTCCTTTTGAACAAAAAACGTGACTAGTTTAAAAAAACACCAATCTTAAATTTCCTACTTTTCCGCTGAAAATTGGACAATTGTTTATATAAACTTTTTTGTAGATATTGATGTCTACTATCAACCTCTTAAATATTTCTGTTTACCTCCAAGACACCCTCTTTAAGCGGAATCTGTAGTACAAACTTGAACTAGTATGAACAACTTTGAAACATAGAGATATAGCCAGTGGTACAGAACCCTTTTTATCAAATTATTTATATCCAGGCTGAAACTTCATAAATAGATTCATCTCATCGTAATCTACAAATATTTTATTTACGAAAATTCTCAGAATTGGGGCATTTTCTATCTAAAGGTCGGCAAATTTTGTCTATTTAATTAGGTACTATAAATTCGTTAATATCCATTTGCTTTCCACTTTAATCGTAAGATAACTTGAATACATAGTCGAATAAAAAGATTGCCTTAAAAAATATTGAGCCGTTTGGCGTGACCAACACGCCCAAATTGTCAAAATAAAAAAAAATTGGCCCATATAACCTCGTTATTTTGACAATTTGGGGGAGTAGGCCAAGCCAAACGGCTCAAATTTTTGAAGGCCAGTTTTTTTCCTCGATTTTGTGCTCAAGTTATCTTACGATTACAGTGGTATTTACGAGTTTCTAGCACCTGATTAAATAGACAAAGTTTGCCGATCTCCAGATTGAAAACGCCCTAATTCCAAGAATTTTCGTAAATAAAATGTTTGTCCAACACTGTTACCACCACCTATGCTGATGACACGTGTATCCTTTCAGTTAATAACGATACATCTATTGCATCCCAAACTCTCCAATCACACATCAAAAATCTTGAAAATGGTGTCAAAACTGGAGGATTAAAATAAATTCCAATAAATCCCATCAAATTACATTCAGTCTTCTAAACAAATCCGATAATTAGGACTCCACCTTGACAAACGACTCACATGGAACTCCCATACCAGACTGAAACGACTATAAAACGCCCGACGTTTTCGACTACTGCAGCACTTACTAGACAAACGCTCTAAGCTTTCAATCAATTACAAACGACTCATATATATGACAATAATAAGACCTATTTGGACATACGGAATTGAGCTTTGGGGCTCTACTAAACCATCGAATTCCTCTCGTATCCAATCCATACAATCAAAAATCCTTCGTAAAATCCTCAACGCTCCGTACTTTGTCACAAATAAAACCATCCATAATGACCTTAATGTTCCATATGTTTCCGATTTGGCCCAATCCAGATATCTGTCCTTCCATAATAAACTTCATAACCATCCCAACCCTCTTGTTTCTAATCTTGCTTCCTATTCAATTCCTGATAATCCTCCGAGGCGTCTGAAAAGAAGATGGCCTCGGGAATTTCTAATATAGAACTTTAATTTGAGTTCTACCAATGGGTAGTTTCTCTTCATGTTGTACATGTCATGTAACCAATGTCACATTTACTTGTTGTGTTTTCTATGTAATACAGTTGTAAATTTCATTAAAATAAAAAAAATGTTTGTAGATTACTATGAAATGAAGTTATACACGAAATTTCAGCCGGATGTTAATAATTTTAAAAAAGGGGTTCTGCACCACGGGCTAATAGGTTGATTGATAAAAACGTTTAAGATAACATACTTAAAACATTTCAATAATTGAACAAGTGTCAATAATTGATGACTTTAACCTATAAGTTCAAAATCATTGAATTTTTTTTTTTTTTTAATTTCTTTATTGAGTATTATAACAATCTGTCTGTTGGACATTGGTTATAGTGAGGTAGGATGACATTCACACTATATGTACAAAAAAATAAAATAAATAGAACAAAATAATAATCAAAAGTATATACAATAGACAATAAAATAAAATAACCTAAAAAATAAGAAAATTAGAACTAAGAAAAAAAAACACATGCATACAAAAAATTAAATTTGATCAAAGTTTATTATATTCAAATTATACATATATTTAGATAAATAAATAATGTTAACTATTATATAGTATATTATGTATTCCAGGTGATATGTAACTGAGCGGGATGGATCAAGAAAGCACTAAGGAGACGGCTGTTACCATCAGGGGCGCCTACAAGCGCTACGGGCCCACCAATGTCGTCCTCAACGGCCTCAACATGAGTCTTCCGGAGGGAACCATGTATGTATAATATTATTTTAAGTTAATATAATTATTGTATTAATAATTATAATAGTAGACTAGAGTATGCGATTGGATATCATACATAGGCACTGACTTTCGATTGGGTGATTAGAGAGATGTTGGATTAGGGGGCGCTAAGGACAAAAAAAAAAGATGGCGGGAGTGTTTATAATGTATAAAAATTCAACATAATTATTGTGAAACGAACAAAAATGATACTGAATATTTAAAATTAATTTATTTATATTAATGTATGGCTGTAAGGATTTTTTTTTTTTTTTCTACTTATTATATGTACTTGAAAATATCTTTTAAAAAATAATTCAATACATAACATATTTGTTTAGAGTAAACCCAGGAATGGGGGGGAGGGGTTAGACAACCTTCATAACATTGATACCAATGCCGGCCCTAAACATTTGGCGCCCTAGCGCAAAGACGTTATCTTCCCACCCCATAAAAAAAAAACTGAATTTATTTCTTAAACTTTTTTATACTATGTATTATTTGAAGTTTATTTCATGCAAATTCCATGGAAAGTAAACATTGGAATCTAGAATCATTTCATTGAATTAAGGATTAAGGGTCATTGTCCTCTATATTAACATTCCTAATTGAAAACAAACAAAAAGATTACCTATTTATTCATTAAAAACAATAGACCAATCCAGAGCAGAAATATTTTTAGATGAAAACATGAAAAAATCAATTGGGTAGAATTTTTTGCCTGTCAGTGTATTTATAGATTTTTAAAATGCAAAAATTCAAACCAAAAGACAAAGGAGAACACGGGACCAGAGACGTCCAGAAGGGGGGTTTCATGGCTCAAGTCGCACCATCAAATTTTGTGAGGTGACCATATTTTGAATTTTTGTAGGGATCACATTTTGATAGAGTTATGAATTTGAGAATGAAAGGTTTGATATTAAGTGAGAAATTACGATCTACGATTTTTATAATTCAATATTAGCTTACTCTGTTTTTAAGAAAATAAGAGCAATAAAATATCTTGGGAGTGGAAGGTTCTTGCGCCATAGACCTTGGGGAGGAATGGGCACCTCTGCATGGAATATACTGTAGTAAGTGTAATTGTATATAATCTCTAATTTTTCTAATTCTACTTTCGCTAGCACTGCTTTTATAGCACTAAAAGAAGAGGTGAGCAATAAATATCTTGGGAGGGGAGAGATTCGTCATGTGGCTACTATTGTTTAAGTAAATGACATATTGGCAAAAATGTTACGTCTAGCGCAGAATTTTATTTGTCAAAAACTCAAAAGGTACTCAATTTATATCAACTTTTTGAAAGTTGACTTGATTTTTTTGTTTTGCTTTTTGATTAATCAAAAACTTTACATATCTGAAGCAATCGAGATTTGAATAATAATCCAGTTGTTTATTTCTATTATAAAAATATGAAAATTATCTTCATGTTGGCCAATATTAGAAAGCACTCTTTATTTTGCTATTGGATATTTATATTTAAATAATTAGGTATAAATCGTCGATTTATTCCAAAAAATCACAAGTAATATTTTAGAAAATTTAAATAGTGAATAGTTTGATGAATTTTATTTTTTGAAATCAGAAAATTATACACACACAATTAGTGTGACGACTTTTGACGTATCAATGCTATATTCAAAAGATAGTAACTGTATTTTAATAAATTTTTCAAGGGAAAAAAAAAAGAATTTAAATACATAAAAATCACTTTATAGATAAAATTATAGACTGGATTTATGTGGTTCAAATAGACTGATATAATCGATGTAATTAATAGGGTTTGTGTTATTTCGATGGTCTTATTGATGTTTGTATTGATTAATTTGACCTAAATTCACATATGTGTGCCACGGCTTGCCCTCTAGGGAGGTCTCTATGGATCCTGCCACTTTCTTCGAGCAATCCACTCTATCGTTTCCCTTCGATTGTCAAATAAAAAATAATGTATTAATAAAAATAATTATTAAATGTAAAATAATTATGTATTAATAGAAGGCGAATTTATTAAATACATATTAATTTAATAAACTAAATTTCATTTTACCTTCATTTTATTACTCTATGTTCATTAAAATACATCTGCTTTAAATTTTTAAAAATAACCTATTTACTCCGAAATAGTGTTAGCTTATTAATTATTTTTAACTTTTCAGATTTTTTCCACATGAAGATCCGATATTATGTTAACCGAGTTGTACATAAAAATATCGATTTTGATATTGCGGGTTTGTGTATCGATTTATTTTCATTTATTGGATTTCTTCGGTATTAAGATATATTATTCGGTTATCAGAGTGGCTTTTTATGAAAATACTATCGATTTGATAAAATATAGTCCATAAAATTGAAGAAATTAATTCGCAGGGATTATAAATAATAAAACCGATTATATTTTTAAAAAACTAAAGAGTATAATAACCACAATAACCGTTCAAAACAAAATAAATATTCGATCATTATTCATTATTTTATTTGACTTTTTTTTTCTGCTAGCTTTACAAACAGTTTTTTTACACGCTGCTTTTGCAGAATTTTTTTTTATTGCTTAGAGCACAGGATTTACATTCATTATCTCAGGAAAATTAAGAAGTTGTAATTAATATATTATTAATAATGTATTATTATTATGTAATATATGCAAATAACCTTGCCATCAAAGGTTCTGCTCATCTCTAAACCTTCCAGAGGTTTGGCCATTGGATAACCAATTGTTCTGTCTCAATACTATTTCGCTAATTAAGGTTAATAAGAGGAATAGTATTGAAGACATCATCAATGTGAGTCCAAGGTCTCTCTGTGATGTATGATGTATATTTGTAAGCGTCTTAGTTGACGGCCTAATGTTTGATTATGATTGTGTCTTCTGAAACAACGCTTCATTAATTACAAGCGTACATTCAGTTTTTGCAATGTATGAATAACTTTTGGAAATGAAAAAAAAAAACACTGCAAATTAATTCGCAATGGTTTATTATTTCCAAACAATTATACATCTAAAGTAACATTAGATTCCTAGTTACAAAGAAAATAAATAAAAGGTAATTCCAATTATTGGACTAAACTTTTTTTTAATTATAAGTAATATGCTAAAAAAAAATAGCATTACTTGAGTAACACATTCAAAATTTAAAAACCAAACAAAGGATATAACATTTGGAGTAGAACATATAAAAAAAAAAACTAGAGACCATATCTTTGCTCCTAATTGTCCGATTTTAACGATTTTTTTTTTGTTTTATAGGAAATTACGTAAACTTTAAAAATATATTTATATATATACAATATCAACAAAAAAGTGTAAACTTTTTGAGTTATTCGGAATTTAATTTTACCACCCCTCGTAACTTTTTTTTCAGCTTCTTTTCGTTGAAGTATGTTATATAAATGAATTTAAAGGGCGTCGAGAAAACGACTTTAGCGAAGTTTCATTGAAATCGGTACATTCGTTTAGGCGCTACAGTCTATGGCAACGCAGATTTTTCGGCCGCCATTTTGAAAGTAAAAGGCTGATAGTAATGTCGATGAAGGAGGATCATCCTCGGGTGTCCTCTGATTTTATATCCGAATTTGAAAAAAATCTGTCTAGTAGTCCGGAGAAAATGCGCGGACGGCGGAAGGACAAAAAAATTGTTTTCAAGTTAATCCACTATCAGCCATATTTACACCAATTTAAAAAAATTTGTTGTCACTTAATGACTACTCATCAAAATGACGACGTTTCGGCTCGTCGAGCCATTTTCAAGTCTAAAATACCCATCATGTACCTGTCATATTCACTTATGCGAATTGCAAGCGTCATGTTTCTGAGTCACCCACATGTCATCCATCTCATTTCTATTCAGTCACTGAATAGAAATGAGATGGATGACATGTGGGTGACTCAGAAACATGACGCTTGCAATTCGCATAAGTGAATATGACAGGTACATGATGGGTATTTTAGACTTGAAAATGGCTCGACGAGCCGAAACGTCGTCATTTTGATGAGTAGTCATTAAGTGACAACAAATTTTTTTAAATTGGTGTAAATATGGCTGATAGTGGATTAACTTGAAAATAATAGTATGCACCGAAGAAGAATTGTGTAATATTGTGAAAAAATTGTTATTCGTTTTTCGAATTCTACGCATTCTGAAACGTGAAACCTCAAATTTTGAGAGGGAGTTAAGTTTTTAAATTTTTTGGTCGATCGCAATGGTTGATTATTGAAAATAATAAACCAAAATCAGTGTTTAATTAAAAAAACTGGTGCGTGCATCACACAACTTTCACTTACCGTTCTACTTCAAACAGAAATTCTTGTATCCCAAAATTGAAAGGGCTATTACAAAAAGTTTTTAAAGAATATTTTTAATGCAGTTAAACCTCAAAGAACACATTTGTGAATTTAGGTCATATTAATCAATACAATTACTCAATAAGACCATCAAAATAACACAAACCTTATTTATTATATCGATTGTATCACTCTATTTGCACCATATAAATCCAGTCTCTGATATTATATACAAAGTGAGATTTGAAAGTATGTATATTTAATTATGAATAGGTAAGGATTGTACAACATAGTAAAAATTATAGGAATTAAATAATGTATTCTTTTATGTATTCAAATTCTTATTTTTTTCTTTGTAAAATTTACCAAAATACAGTTACTAGCTTTTGAATACATCATCCATAGGTCAAAAGTCGTCACACTAATTGTAAGTGTGTAATTTTCTGATTTCAAAGAGGAAAATTTATCAAACTATTCACTAGTTAAATTACCTAAAATAGTACTTATGATTTTTTGGAATAAATCAACAATTTATACCTGATATATTTGAATATATTATTCTCACTACTTCCAAATGTAAAATAAAAAGTGATTTCTAATGTTGGCCAACATGAAAATAATTTTCATATTTTTTTCAATACAAATAAACAACAAAATTATTATTTGAATATCGATTGCTTCACAGATGTAAAATTTTGAGAAAACAAAAAAAAAATTACTTCAAATTTCAAAAAGCATTCACATAAGTTGAGTACCTTTGAGTTTTTGACAAATAAAATTCTGTACTAAACGTAACATTTTTGCCAATATGTCATTTACTTAAAAAATGGTAGCAGCAATGTGCATCTCTCCCCTCCCAAGATATGTATTCCTCCCCTCTTCTTTTAGTGCTATAAAAGCAGTGCTAGCGAAAGTAGAATTAGAAAATCGCAGATTATATAAAATTACACTTTCCATGCAGAGGTGCCCATTCCCCCCAAGATGGATGATGCAAGAACCTTCCACTCCCAAGATATTTTATTGCTCTTATTTTCTTAAAAACAGAGCAAGCTAAGATTGAATTATAAAAATCGTAGATCATACACAATTACACTTCCTGGGTTCTGTTCCACGTTTTCTTTTTGTTCCTTAGTATAAAACTTTTCCAACGTTCCAAAATTCAAGCTCTATCGAAATGTGTCTTCCTTAAAAATTCAAAAACCCGTCAAAATATGGCCCCCTCAAAAATTTTGATGGGGCTACTTGCGCCAAGAAACCTCCTTCTGGATGCCTCTGGTTCCATGTTCTCCTTTGTCTTTTGGTTTGAATCTTTACATTTCAAAAATTTATAAACATGTCAAAATGTGCCAACCCCCCAAAAAAATGTTAATTGCTTAACTTGTACCTTGTAATGTCCTTGTAAATCTGAAGGACTTAGACTCTAGGTAAGTGCATTTAAATAGACACACATTTTTCGGCTGCCATTTTGAAATGAAATGACAGATCATTAGCTTAGAATTAGTATTTCCAACTGCAAACCTACCATCTGAGAAACGTATTTCCGTTTTTTCTCTCATCCTGTCATTAATTAAAAATATTTAGTTTAAAATGTATTTTATTAGCTTTTATAAATGCATTTTTATTAAATACAGCTGAGAGAAAATAGGCATCATTCTATATGGCATACACATCACTATGAAGTGGACTTAGGCTATACCCCCAAGTCTCTCCACAGCTCCCAGACACAACATTTCAATCTTAACATTTGAATTTTGCAGTCACTCAAATTTATGGGATTTTTTTTCTATTAACAAATTATACATTGATAAAATGATTTTAGTGAAAATCATTACAGCACTTTTTGATAAAATGGTAAAAATGTGAAAATTCTATGATTTAAAGGGGTACTTACGATAATTCAATTTTAGCGAGAACGTATGGAGGTGTATACTTACGCCAATATATCTTCTTAAATAAGAAATTTCAGTTTCAGTCTTTTTGTTTAGACTATGTTATTCACTTAAGCACACACACATAAAGACCATTTGGTGAGAGTTGATTACTTTTACTCAGGGAACTTTCAAATTTTTATTTCCTCTGAAAACTTGGATTCGAAAAATTTCACAACTAAAGTACTTTTCCCAATTATATATATATATATATATATATATATATATATATATATATATATCTCTGATGTATGTGAAATTATTGTCCGCCTTCAAAGTCAAATACAGACTACAGACCCAAAAATAGGATAACAAATTATGTGCGAAAAATGTTTAGTTTGAAATCAACTAATGCAAATATCCTATAAATACAATTATGTAAATATATGAACTTAATATATCTATTTTCTAACTTATTAAAAGTATATTGTTATATAAGATACATAAACCAATCATAATTGAAAATTCTATAATGAATTTAAATACAATAAAATTTAGAAAACTTGTTTAGAGCAATTATTATAATATTTAGAATAAAATTATTTAGAATAACAATTTTCTTGTTTCCAGCTATGGTTTACTGGGACCAAGTGGTTGCGGAAAGACAACATTACTCAACTGCATTGTTGGAAGGGTTGAAATTGACGCAGGGACAATATCAACCAAAGCTAAATACAAAGCAGATATCGGTTATATGCCACAAGTAAGACTAATCAAATATTTACTCATAAAATACTTTTATCATTATAAAATTAAAATAAACTCTATTTGTTTATTTAAAATTTTTAAAATAAAATGTATTTCTTGTTTTATTTTCATAACACCAACTGGGTAGTCAGTTTGATGTTTTTTCTCTAGATTTAGATTTTTTGGGGGGAGGAGAAAGGTTGTTTTCTATTTTTTTTTTTTTTTTTTTTTTTTACTGTACCACATAGAAACAAAAAGGTCAAAATGATATGAATAAAGGTCTTACGAAGAATGATAGACGAGTGATGGCCAAAATTTACCTTTCTATATAAACCAATTGAAAGGTGAAAAAGAGGATGACCTAGGAAGAGATGGTTACAGGATAGAGAAAGGCATGGCTGCCAAAGGTCTTCCAAAGAGATACTGGCTAGATCGAAAGAAGTAGCAAGAATATTTAAGAATGACAAACAACTAAATTAACAATAAAAATATATTTTCTTAAATTTTACTAAATAAATTTGTCATTTTATCTTAAACAAAACTAAACACTAAAATGCATATGAAAAAAATAGTTTATAAAAATTCATTTCTTTGATTAATTTATTTATCACATTGTTCGAGAAATAATTTAACAAAAATATGTTCCCTTGGCCAAGTATTCTTTATTATGCCGTCACATTCACACGTCCTAGTATTGCGACTGAATTAAAATATTCAATAAATATTGTGATTAAACCAATATGTTCAGAAATGGAAAAATTAGGACGTACAAAAATCCATTTTTGCACACCCTCTTAAATTAATTGAAATGAATTTTCTTTAAAAAATGATCTAATAGGGACCAAGGGACGCCTCTGTTTCCCATTTTTAGGCAGAGTTGAAGTAAGTGGCTTTATCCTTCCTACCGTCGTAAATATTTCCTGGCATCCTTCCTCTTCCAAATCGTCCAATCCCACCGACCTTCATACATCTCCGAGCTCCTTCAATTCAAATCCTCTGTTCGCTCCTGCAATACTCGTTCCCGGTCTTCTGATTCATAGATAAGGGCCCACTGTTTTCCACAGATCTTTCATTATCCGATCCTCATCACATTAGAACACCATCCCTTCTCACATTCCTCAATCTAATACCCTTCCTACCTTTAAATCCCGCCTGTTCAATCATTTCTTATCCATCCACTCACCATGAAATTGTAAATAAATACTAATGTAAATATGCATATAAATTATTAGTTTGTTCTTCATTACTTTTACTTCATCCTTTTTTTCTATTTTTTATTATTAACTGATTAAAATTAGAAAGTAACTTATAATTTTTCATTTTTTTACTATGACTGCTTAATTACTCTGTATTTTTATTTATGTATTTTTGAGGCTCCTTAGCCCATATTTATGCCTTTCTGTATTATTCTAAAGGGACTCGTCCCAGAATAAATAAATTAGTATTATTATTAATAATTAGCTAAATCAATAAAGTGTATAAAAGAAGATTAAATTAAGACAACCTGGCAACTCTGATTTATTTCCTTAACTTTCACATGACACTGTATGTAAATTCAAGATTTTGGAATTTTTACAAACTTATGTAAATTTTTAAAACATTTAAACAATGTTTTATTAGTATTATATATTTTGAATATAAAAATATTTATATATATTTTTTTTTAAATTTCCCCATGCCTGTCATGTCATTGTCTCATGTATCGCCATCACATTTGCTGATTGTCAACAATAAGTTGACAGGCGTGAATATATTTTTTATAGACAAAAAAAAATTATGATTATTGCTTTATAAACTGCATTATGATTACTAATATTATTATTTATTGCAACAGGACATTGCTCTCTATACAGTATTAAGCATCGAAGAAACATTTTTGTATTATGGCCGGCTCTTTGGAATGACGTATTCACAAATAGAGAACAGGACGGAAGAACTAGTCAAACTGCTGGATCTACCTTCTGAGAAAACACTAGTCGAAAAACTCAGGTAATTTTTAAGCATTATCATAAAGTAATCACTTCTTTTGTACTAGAATCAATTTTTAATGAATTCGAATAAATGTGTCTGCACCTTTAATTCAGACAGTCAAATCAACACACCAAGACCCTAAATGTATTGTCAGAATAAATTATATGAGCTCAAAATCTTTCCCTATGGAATAATCTTTAAAGCTAGGAGATGGCCTTAGAATTATCATCCCAGACATAAAGAATTATGGAAGCTCGACTGATTGGTAAATGACCCAGAGGAAGATCAAGAAAAATATACAACGAATAAAGCATTGGAAAAGGATCAAAATTTATCAAAGAGTTGAAGATGCTAGAGCAAAACTGGGAGGCTGGATCTGGTGGATAGAGGCTTCACTATGCTGAGAGACAAAAAAGAGGAAGAGAAAGAACAATAAATGTCTCTACAATAAACTATGAGTATGTTAAAAAAAGATGAACAAAGTGTCATGGTGAATATCAATGAAATAAACTATAATAAAAGAATCATCCATACAATAGGAACAGAAGTAGAGGAAGGAAGATCTCGATTGATTTAAAGATCTTTTGGAACTCTTGGAGTAAAGATAAAGTATATTTGTATCAAGGTAGACAAAATATATCAAAGGCTTTAATATTGTCTGCTTTAAGACCTACTCTTGAATTAGGTGAGTGGTAAGATTGCTTCATACTGTAGCGATACTTTCAAAATGAATAAGAGGTTGTTAAATAATAAACACAATTTTAAGGGTATTAATAAGTTAAATTGAAATTTATAATTATTTTATCTCAGGTATGGGTTACTGACAATTAGAACAAAAGACTCAGACAGCTTAACATTAACTAGAGTAAACACTGTTTGATTTTAAAATAAAGTCAAATATGAATTGGCTAGCTAACATTTTTTCTATAAACACTGTTTCTTCCTTTGTGATACTGAATTCATTTGTCTTTAAACACTTTCCAAAGTTCTGCCAAACATACCTTCCAAAATGGTGACACTTTCTTCTACTCAACTCAAGCTCCCTGGGAGATCTTCTCTCTTGTAATCCCAAACAACTAGTGCCTCTGCCAAATAAAAACTTCCAAGATGGTAATAATATTACTGCCTTTTACTCACTGGAGCCAGGATCTCTTCTTTGATCCTCTCTTCACCCCAGCCAAACACCAACTACTTGCCAAAAACCAAAAATCCTTTGTCCCCTTTACTGTTTGGGATTTTCCTTTCTGGAGAAACTACAGAGCAGTCATTTTCTTTTTCCTGAACTAGTAGAACTAGATTAGATTGCCTTTTAACTGTTCGACATTAATTTATTAAACCCTTAATACCCACTTCCAATAAAGATGTATATTATGATATGTACATCAAATTGATATCAACATTCCATGGAGTAACCAAGGGCAGACCTCGACAAGTAGAATTGTATATAAACTACAATATTTATAATTTTACTTTTACTCGTACTGATTTTAAAAATAAGAGAACAGTAATATTTCTTAGGAGAGGGAGTATGCACCATTGAGTTTATCTTTGACATATTTGATTTGATATACTATTATAATAATTTTTTTTAGCGGTGGACAGCAAAGGAGAGTATCATTTGCAGTAGCGTTGATCCATGACCCACAACTTCTCATATTGGATGAACCTACGGTTGGATTAGATCCATTGCTCAGCCAAAGGTACAGTCGAATCCATAAATGATATTAAATAAATTAATATTTATATTAATATAATAATTTTATTCCAGTATATGGGAACATTTACTGAAACTAGCTGCTGTAGGGAAGAAAACAATAATCATAACAACGCATTATATCGAAGAGGCAAGGCAAGCCCATGTTGTAAGTATTATTTTTATTTTTACACAAGATGATAATTGAATAAAAATATTATTATATTGACTACGTTTAACAACTAACCTTAATGTTGTAATAGGTTGGATTAATGAGAGGTGGTGTTTTACTCTGCGAAGAAGAACCACAACAATTAATGACCTCTCACAACTGTGATAATTTGGAACAAGCTTTCTTACAGCTCAGCCACAAGCAGCATAATGCTTATAATGAAGAAGAAGAAAATGTAATACAGTCATACATATAATATGCAGACAAATAGAATTATAACAATAATATTACTAGGAAATACATCAATATTTAGAAAACATTAAACATACCATGTTTACTTCAATATAAGTCGAGCACAAATAAAAATTGACCCTCCATTACAAAAATAATTAAATGAAACTTAACATGCAGACTTTAGAAAAACAAAAATATGCTTAAATTAGATAAATAGTATCATAATATCTTAAAAAAGTATAATGAAGCTTTGAAATTAGGACATTATATAAAAAATAGAATTGAGATTTTTAACTTAAAAAAAAATAACTGATTTTCTATTTTATTTTTTGGACACCCCCATACCAGACTGAAACGACTAGAAACCACCCGACGTTTTCGAATACTGCAGCACTTACTAGACAATCGCTCTAAACTTTCGACTATATACAGAAGATTCATATATATTACTGTAATAAGGCCTATTTGAGCTTATGGCTCTACTAAACCATCAAATTCCTCTCATATCCAATCCCTACAATCCAAAATCCTCAATGCTCTCTACTTTGTCACAAATAAAATCATCCATAACGACCTTAATGTACCATATGTTTCTGATTTAGCTCAATCCAGATATGTATCCTTCCATATAAACTTCTGAACCATACAAACACTCTTGTTTCCAACCTTGCTTCCTCTTCTATTTCTGATAACCCTCCTGTCTGAAAAAAAAAATGGCCTCGGGACCTTCTAATATAGAATTATAATTGGAGTGCTACCAATGGGTGTAGTTTCATATTTACTTGTTGTATTTATCATTTAATATAGTTTTAAATTTCAATAATAAAAAAAAGGATTTTTTGGATAAATTATCATATGAATATTTTGCAAGAACCCCCCAAAATTTGTACGAGTTATTACTGATATAAATTTTTTTTTTTAAACTGCAAGAATGCACTGCGGCCATGAAGGCCTAAATAAACTTCATTAAGTCACCACAAAACTAGAAATGAAAATAAACCTGAAATAGCTTAAAAGCCTCTAGTTTGGTCAATGTCAATCTTTTAAAAGTCAAATCTTATTTCAGTAGTAGATACATTTTTTACTGAACAAAAAATCCTCTATTTATATTTAGCAAAATATTGTACTTTCAGGGTAACAAATATATAATAATACTATAAATGTTGAGACAGTTAAAAGGTACCTCTTACTTTATTTTCATACTCATATCTCTGAGATGAATGAATAAATTATTTCCAAAACTATTGTCATCAATGTGATCTCTGTTTTGCATTCAAATGTGTTTATTATAATATTCTACAGGTAGATTATGAAGTTTTTTTTTTTTCTAAGCAACTATTGTGTTTCCACAATATTTAAAATTACAATGTTTTTTTTATTAAAAAAAAATATACTTTATAAAAACACAACTGGTACTTCTTAAAATAAATTTCAATTTAGTTTCTATCTCATTTAATTAAACAATGGATTTTAAAGAAGGAAAAATGTTTATTCCTATTGTACAGCATTAATAGAAGGGAAACAATTGACATTGCACATATTTTGAGCAAACTCGCATCAAAGTTAAATGAAGTTAGAAAATGTCGAAGTTTTCAAACAACAATATTTTCTGTATAGTCACAAAACTAATTTTATTTTGTCCAAAATGTCGTTGTTGTATCAATAGGTAGATAGAAAATTTATTTTATTTATTCATTATTATTTTTCTAAGTTTAAAAGTTGCTTTCTATTTATAATAGTTTTTCTCAACTTCGATTTTCCATTGAAATTAACCTGAGAAAATAAATGGTTCTTTTCTCTTAAAAATATTAATCTCATGTCCCATTAAAATACCAGCAATACTTCATTTCACTAATGGATTCAGAATTCAACTTTAGAGTGGAGGGCTTCAGCCTGATAGTTTTTTTTTTAATATATATATATATAACATACATTTTTTTTATTTTTTCGCTGTACCACTAACAACTTATGGAGGGTCTTGGGTGCAGTACAATATGTGAGGCAGTACTGTTACAAGACCAACGGTTGTGCAGACAGGTGATGGGTCAATATCACGCTCAACCGCCAGGTTTTCCCCCTTAATTAATTATTTAATTGAGTGTAACCACTTTATAGAGACTGGGTTTGCCACAGGAGGGTCTGAGAGGCCCCAGGGTTAACCCACCGCTGATGAAAATAACTAGTCATCAGCCGGATTCGAGCCTTTGACCTTGAGTCTTTGACCTTGACTTGGAAAGTCAGTGCCCACCCACTGAGTTACGCCGCTCCCATATTAATATATATATATATATATATATATATATATATATATATATATATATATATATATATATATATATATATATATATATAATGATTATAACTTTGAAAGAAGAAGAGATAAATTTTAATACTATTGTACATAAGACATAATGTGATGGAATAATCTATGAATAAAAACTTCAGGAAAGCAGCAATGTTTCTTAAATATTGCCAATAGTACTTACTACTTACAAAGTACTTTATTAAGTAAACATAACTATTTTTGTGCTCACTTTTTTTCCATGTTTGGAAATAATGATTAGATATTTGTAGTTTTGTTTTGTAGATAATATAAAAGTAGGAATGGGAATATCGTAGGCTGGCGGAGCAATGCTGCCATGGTGGGGGCTTAGCCCTCCTCCCAACAAATTGCTATAGTGTGAACTTCATTAACATTTCGATCGTGTACATTACAAAAGACTTTATCTATCTACTAGCAGGTATAGTAGGGTTTGTTTATCGGTATTCTATTTTGGATTTATAAACTCACCTCAACTGTAAAAAGAATAATCAATTAAAATACTGTACTGTTTTAGTTTAAAGTATTTTCTGTGAAAACACTGTTTTGTTATCAGGAAGGTCTTGAAAAAATTCATTTTTCATACACTGTTAGATCTGTGGGAAAGACTTTCAGGCTGAAGTTTTCCTCCCCTCCCCCAAAATGGTAAAATATGACCATGTTTTATGATAGAAATATAAAAAAAATTAACCCTAAAAGTATTATTGTTCGTCTAATTACATTTAATAAAACTTCAAAAATCATTATTTCATATAGGTAGGTAGTTTCTTTTTCATCCAAAGTAATTATTTTAATATATAAAAAAAAGCTGTCGGGCGGAAGCCTACCTCTAAAATTAAATCCTGGATCCGTTAGTGTATAGGCATATATTATATATTGCATATAGACCTCCCTCCCCCCAATAATTTTCATAAGTCGGAGCCTAGAGAGAACATTACTGAAGTAAGAATAGAGTGTCACTAGCAATAATCAATTTGAATAAATGTAATAAGAACAATTTTTTTATAGAAGGTTGGTTGGTGCTGGGAATAAGAGTCTTTTTTCAGAATAAATGTTAGTTTGTTAACAATAAATATTAGTCTTTTTTTTATTTAGAGCTTTCATAAGATATGAGAGAAATTATTTGTTATTTTTTTATTTTATCTCTTATCTAACTGATGTTACATCATTTTATATTTTAAGGTGGTGACAAATTACCCAGAAGACACGACAGAAAAGCCAAAACCACATTTGAAAGGTGAAGGATGGTTTTTGTGGTCAAGATTCATGGCGCAACTTATAAAGAATTGGTTTTTCATGTGGAGAAATAAAGCGTAAGGCCTTTTTCTCATACCTTTAAACAACTTTATAATATATAACATATATTAATTTCAATTTTTTTTTCTAAATTCAGAATGATGGTATTTTTATTGGGCTTACCGTTAGTTCAGTGTACATTCTATAATTTGGCGATCGGACACGATCCAGAAGGTTTGAAAATAGCCATTGTTGACGACGAGTTACCAAATGGTCTGCAAGAATGTAGCATGTTTCCATCAGGAGGCTGCAACTTGGATTATCCACTCAGCTGTAGATATATTGATAAGCTTCGGAACAGGACATTGGATTTGGTGAGTTATATTAAATTAATAAATCTGTAACAGATTAATTCAGAAAATGATTATAGGTTGTAATTAAGGCCTTATTAGTCTTAGTCAATAAAATAATTTATTGTAAATTTATCCAAATTTTCACTAATTCAGGCATCTATAGTGATTAATTTTTTTAGTAAAAGTCATTTTCATTCTGCCACCTATTTATATCATGATGATCAAAGGTAATGTGTGTAATTAGAAAGCATGATAAGCACAAACCAGCCTTTGAAAAAAGAAATCCAATTAATTAATTCTGGACCAATCAATATATTATAGATCCAAATTTATTTTACTATTTTTTTATTAAACATTTCTGGGTAATTATCATCAATAATTATCCAGTGGCATCCTGAATAGATTTCAACACCCCAAAACGTAGTATCTTTTAATGTCATTCCTTTTGTGGGGATACAACATAGCAAAGGTCTCCTACCTGTTATCCTAATTAATAAAATAATTAATGAATATTTATTTTTATATTTTAATTATTTTACTAAACAGGTTGAATACGAAGGCCTCAGTGCTGGGAAGCTAGCTGTGAGTAAACATAAGACATGGGCTCTTGTATATTTCTCCCCAAACTATAGTAGTGCTCTGACGGAAAGAATAAATTTGACAACAGAGTACACCGAAGTTAGCAACTTGTCGATTGAGCTCAGCCAATTAAATGTTTGGATGGACATGTCAAGTATGTAGTAATTCAAGTTTATTTGCTATAAAAATATGTTGATTTTATGTGGTGAGTTTTTGATCTATTTTTTTTTCAGATCAATACATCGGCAATATGTTGAAGGAGGACATCATTAGTGGATTTGTCGACTTCTTGGAAGATCTCTTCAGAGACTGCGGTTGGCCTCCTCAAGTTGCCAACATTCCTGTTAGAGTAAGTTTATGAAATATATATGTTACACAATTTTCTTTTTTATGTTAATGGTTAAGAATAATCTATTATATATCTGTGGCACCTGTGCATAGTGGGTTAAGTGCAATCATCATATTTAAGGAAAAACGCAATTGAAAGTTTGGAATTTTCAAAGGTGCAAGTTCAATTTTCAAATTTCAATCCATGATTCACAAAGGAATGTTCATCTCTCTAATAACTTCATAGCTTAGCCAATTAGAAACAAAAAAAGAAAGAAAAATTAACTTTTTGGTGCCCATAAAAATTCACAAAATTGCACTTAACACACTTTTCACAGGTGCCACAGACATATAATTCTGTAGTATAAATCCTTTTTATGCCTCTTATAAATCACGGATTTTTATTTATTTATTTAAGTACATAATCCACCAACAATTTTGACTTTCCATACTCGTCCATACCAACAATTTTAACAACCTTTCCATACTCGTGAACTCCATTGTTTCCCATCTGTACAATATTACCGGTTTCACAACAGTTTATTAGTTTCTAAGTTTTTGCCCACCCTCTCCCCCAAGATAAATTCTTTTTGTTATAAATGTATTTTGTCGCAAATCTTAATCTATTTAATTTCTCCTCCCTATTCCTCATTAATTTTCTATCCTCTCCATAGTAATTTACTCATTCCCCAAATGCTTAAATTGTTTTACTGTCTTTATTTCCCCATATTTTGTTTTTACCATTTTCCTTATCATGTTATCATTAGTCATTATTTCATTCTTCCTGAAAGATATTTTTAACCCCGATTTCCTGGCTATTTCCAGTAATTCTTCTACTTGCCATAAGAGCCAAGTCATCCGCTAATACCAAAAAGCTGACCTCTAACACATTGTGACCTGTCATTGTACCAAATGACAGGTAGTCATTCATGAAATATCTATATTGGGCTTTCACAAACAATATACCAAAATTAAGTGAATTTCATAGAGAAGTGATGAATCCCAATTTCGATCATCAAATTCTTACTACAGCTTTAATAAAAGTATTTAAATAATGGAAGTTGTATCAAAACTTCAACGGTAGAAAGCTGGCAGATCAAGATGAGACAAAAGATTTTGAGACAAAAATTAAGAGCCAGTCAGAATATTTCTAAGGAAACTGTTAGTATGACAATGTCATTTCAAAATTTACAATTTAGAATCTGAAATTGTGTGATGATTAGACTTAGGTAATATTATATGTTCTGTGTCTGTATTAGCATTTACAAATTCCATGATTGCTCTATTACAATATACATAGTACATAAATTTACTAATTTAATTTAAACGTTTAAAAAAAAATATCCTGTTTACATGTTTTTACTTGCTTCATTCATGACATATATATAATTATTCTTCTCTTTCATAAAAGAAACAAAACACTCACAAAAAAAAAAAAAAAAATAATTGTAATGAACTAAAATAAACTTTCTTTGTGAACAAGAAATAAATAAAAAAATTTAATGTGTTTGGTAAATTATTTTTGTTTTGTTGCTTGATGTAGATTGAAGATCCAGTCTATGGCTCCAGGAATCCTAGTTTTATTCACTTTGCATCTCCAGCAGTTATTGTTGTGTAAGTACTATAATAAATATTTTATTTATTGTTTTTAAAGTATAGTATTATTTAAATTATACGATATTATATTGGAAATTAAATATTCTGTAATCGTGATATACGGAATTGATTTTGCCTTTGCCTTAACAGTGCTTCTGTACTTATTTCAAATGGTTCTAGTAAACGAAATACATTTATTATTATCATTTAAGGTAGCAGTATATAACTGATAAAATTTTCTTTATAAAAGACTGAATTAAGTTTTAATTAGTTTTATATATCTTTTGTTTTAGTTTCATGTTTTACTTGCCACTAATGTTTACTGTTGGTGTTCTTCTGTACGAGAAAATGGCTGGAATATTGGAAAGATGTATGGTTGCAGGTACTTAACTCAATTGCTAAACACAAGAATAATACTAATATAATTAATTTAACATATGTCTATTATAGGCCATAGGTCACCAAAAAAACACAGTTTTTTTATATATTACATGTATGTTTATTCCAACGTTTCGGCTTCAGGAGCCATTTTCAAGAACCTGCAAACTAAATTTTAATTTACTTTTTACCATTCAAGTATAGCTTCAGACAATAAACTGGTATCATTCACCTACCATGCACCGCGCCATAAAATTTTTAAAATTTGTCATTACGATATGATTCGTCCTAATTCATTCTTTTATTTCAAAGAATGTCGTTTTCCGTTTCTAAAAATTATAATATATAATTATAAATTAAAAATAGACTGCTATAATTAATTTAAAATTTTTAATTTTCTGAGGCTATACTTGAATGGTAAAAAGTAAATTAAAATTTAGTTTGCAGGTTCTTGAAAATGGCTCCTGAAGCCGAAATGTTGGAATAAACATACATGTAATATATAAAAAAACTGTGTTTTTTTGGTGACCTATGGCCTATAATAGACATATGTTAAATTATGAGAAAATGGCACCAAACCCGAAGGATGGGACTAGAAAACTAATATAATTTTTATATAAAAAATTATTAATAATTAAATAATTTTTCTAAAATTGTATGAATTATTATTAAGGAGTGAGGAGATAATTTTTTATCAAATTGAAATAGATATTTTATCTATTTTATATTCTATATTAGAGGAAGGAACAATTGAGGTGTAAAGGGCCCCTTACTCAGCAAGTATTATTGAGTCAATATCGAATTTTGTCAATATTGACCATTTAAGGACTACATTGCATCAAATACAATTATTTCAACCAAACTGGTTGATATAAATTTTATTTGTATTAAAATTTTAAAAATATTTATTTGCTTATGGAAAATCTAGAGATGCAAAAATAATTGTGAATTCAAATCCTGGTGCCCATTGAAACTTTAAATTCGGCATAATTCTCACATCCTCTCCTCCGGCCTGGAAAAAAACCCATGTAGCCAAAAGGCAAGGAAGGGGGAGAAAAAAAAACTATGGAAAATTAAAAAATAAATGTTATATTATTTTTAATATAATTTATGTTTGTTATTACACAATTATTTATTTTTTTATAGGAATTACAGCTCTTGAAGTTGTAATGGCACATTCTGTGATTCAGTTCGTCGTGTTATGTTTACAAGGAGTAATAATGATGATTATAATGTACCAAGTATTTGATAGCCCCTTCGTTGGTAATTTCTTCTGGACATCAAATTTACTGATATTGCAGGGATTGAGTGGAATGTGTTTTGGTAAGCTATATAGGTTTATTTCTATTATATGTTTCTAATTTATTCATTATATAATATTAAATTTTACCATTGATACAGTTTTAAAAAATGTTTGTGATTAGTGACAACCAAGAATAACATACTATAGTAAGAAATGTTTATTATATGTCATTTACCTTTCTGTCTTGTAATTGTTTTATGATACAAAGGTCAACATAATTTATATAACAGTGAGAAGAATGATCTTTTTATATTTCGTTTATTTAGTTATTAAATTATCTTTTTTACTTAAATGACCTAGCATCCTAAAAAAAGTATTGAAAGATTTGAAAAAAGAACTCTCCGCACGATAACTGAAGTGATCTGTGATCAGAGTATTAAAGCATGGTGGAGAAAGTCTTTTTAGCCTTTATGTTCAACTAAAATATGGGTTGAAACTTTAGTATTTAATAAATACTATTATATTATTTCTTCTTCATTTAGCAAATGGTCATTTACCATTTTAAAACTGAATATTTAATGTTATTAAAATATAATTTGTTTTCAGGATTCCTTATTTCTGTTGTATCAGATACAATGAACACAGCATCTTTTATGGGAATTGGCAGCTTTTTCCCACTATGTTCTATGAGTGGTAATTTTTTTTTTTTTTTTATGAAAATATTAACATAATGTAGTTATGCTATAGAATTATTAGTTAGATTAGAGTTCATCAGTTATTTAAAATAAGAGTGAATGTCACATACATAATATAACTCTTGAGTGGACATCAAGATTTCGTCATTTTTAAAAAAATTGAAGTATTAAATATATAGCTAAATACCCAATTAGTTAACAATCTAAATATATCACTCTGTAACTTCAAATTATATATTATATTTATATATTACATATATAGTATTGGTGATTGAAACTCTTATCTTTCTTTGCCAATTCATTGTTGACTAATTATGGATTCATATATCTGTGTTTCGAGGCAATTCATTTTCAGGACCTCATGTGCTTTTAGAGGGGCGAAATACAAATTTCAACTTTGTTTCTCCTTTAAAAATTGTTGAAGCCTTAAATTTGTTTTGAAGACTACAAAAATTAAGATAACTTAAACATGGATCCTATAAACTACAAAAAAATGGCATAAACCAGATCCTTGGAAATGAATTAAAATCGGAAGTATAAAAAAATAATTTAATTTAAAAACCTGACTACAGAAATTGAGAAATTCAATCCACTCTTAAGTAATGTACTTCCATATCTACTAAAATATTTTGGTAGATTGATAGAGGAATTGACATCCACGAATATTTAAATTTGGTGTAGTAGTCAAGTTCTTTTCACTACACATTACAGCTCTAGACAAATATATATTTCGTTCCATGTATCAGTGCATGTCAACATCTGAAAGAGTCTTGAGATGGGATGGTTCTGAAGTTTGTTATGGAAGGATAGGTATCTGGATTGGGCCAAATTGGAAACATATGGAACATTAAGGTCTTTATGGATGATTTTATTTGTGACAAAGTAAGGAGTGTTGAGGATTTTACGAAGGATTTTGCATTGTAAGGATTGGATGCGAGAGGAATTTGATGGTTTAGTGAAGCCCCATAGTTCAACTCCGTAAGTCCAAATAGACCTTATTATAATCATGTATATGAGTCTTTTGTAATTAATTGAAAGTTTGGAATACTTGTTTAGTAAGTGCTGAAGTAATCGGAAACGTCGAGCGGTTTCTTGTTGTTTCAGTCTGGTATAATTATAAAAATATATTTTATAAATATATTTATTCTACGCACACTGGTAAGACCATCAGACATAAGTCTAGTATTTTTAGATCAAGTATCACCAAAAAAAGTTCCATTTATATTTGTGACCCCACGTCCTAACCTTCCCGTTTCAGACAGAATAAATACTTAATTTAAATTTTGTAATACTAATGCTAACATATTTCTTCTGCAGGTATGTTATGGCCACAAGAAGGAATGCACACTCTTTTGAAATCAATTGGTTGGTTACTTCCGACATCATTACCGACAGAAGCTATGCGAGCGTTAACAGCCCGTGGTTGGGGAATCGAACATCCTACGGTATACAAAGGTTTCATTTCATCGTCGATGTGGATACTCTTCTTCTGCCTCATGACTAGACTTGTAATTAAAGCTAGAAAAGGGCTAAGAGCAAAATAAGACTATTGGTGGACAAATGTATTATTTAAAAAAACTATAAAATATCATTTTTACATTCCTAAACAAAATAACTTGTTTAATGTGAAAATGTTTCGTTTTCTTGTATATATCCGATTTTTATTTAGTTAAGATAAAATATTTTATTTGTGACTTTTGTTCAACAGTAAATGTACTTATAAAAATCATCTTAACTCACAATGGAAAATACTATTTTTATACTTAATAGAATTTTTTTTATTTCTTTACAGTTCCTTCAATTGTATAGCTCGTTCTAATTTTGAATGACAATTTAGATTTACAAAATAATTGCTCATGATTAATTAAGTACATTTCCATAACTTGGAAAATAAAATCCAGGAGGAAGTATTTTTCTTACAAAGAGATAATAGTTTTTATTTTAGGATTCTGATAGAAATAAGATGTTTGTTGAATCTGAAGGAATTTCCATATAAACTCTATCCATAAATGATCTCTTACATTTAATGTTTTGATAGATATTTTATGATGGCATCTTCAAATGATTGAATTTTTAGATCTAATGAACAAAAATCATTGGAACAATATTACTTTGATAATAAAAGTTATGCTTGGATCAATTATGTTATAAAATTTAACAAAATTCCATTTTATATTTTAATAATAGGATAATAAAATGATTTGGTTAAGATTATAGAACTACAATATTCTTGAAAAATATTCATGATGATTATTAACAAATTAGAAAACCTCTCAAGTTGATTGTTAAACAATAATAATCTAGTGGAATAATAATATATTTCAATAACTAAAAGTTCAATTATAATCATTTTAGGCTGTGAAAATAAATGTATAAATCCTTTCCAAACCAAGCTTCTAAAAGCACTAGGTTAAAGTTTGTTTGAAGAATACTGAAATATGGTTTATAAAAAATTAATTAATTATCTGTCAAATGTGACTAATACTTCCTTCAAATATTAACTACTATAAAAAAAAAAAAAAAAAGATTGGATTCCCTTTGTAAATATAGCATGATAACTGTCACTTGATTCTGTGATTTATTGGGAAATATTTTTGTGATTTATATTAATGTATAAACATATGGATAGATATTATGCAGGATCATTGTATGTATGTATGTTATTACACAATTTATAATGTATGTATAATGTGTTATTTTTTTAATATGTAGAATTAATTGTCAAATATTTGTAAATAAAAAACTAAAATGAATATAAAAAGTTATTGCAAATTCTCAGTTTCAAATCCGACAACCCATCTTAAGTATAATCATTAATCCATTATTTTTTTTACTGTTAACATGAAGTTTTTGAAAAATATTTTTATTACATTTAATCAATAATAGATTAAGTTTTTTGAAAGGGCTGCAATTCTTTCAAAATTCCATTTATATTTTAACAATAAAATATCTCAAAAAATAATTGTGAGAGTATTGTGATAGTTTTAAATGTTCAAAAAAACTTAATGAAATTAATAGAAACTATTAAGATGAATTGGGGTAAGTGCAACTACCTTTATTTATTTATTTTTAAACTGTTACTGTGAGGTAACTATTAGGAATATGGAAATACAACTCAGCACACAGTATTTAGGGTTATCTGGCTACAATATCCTGCAATTAGAATATTTTTATCAATTTAAAAATTTTCGTGTCCACTGGTGCAACCTCACTTAGAATTCCTCCTTAAGAGACACTATAGATAACAGTGAGGCAAGTGTATTATAGCTTGTTTTTAACTTCTTGTGCCATTATTTTTTTACCTTGAACTGTTTGAGAGATACGCACTGTTTTTCGTGAGTCAACGAGGGGATGATCGGAAAAATGGGTAAAATTTAAAAATCAGGTTTTTGTGTGATTTCTTGATTATACTTAGCTAAACTGGGAAAGGTTTACAATGGGGCCTCAGTCTCCATGACTGTACTTGCCCCGAAAGTAAAAATGACGGGGCAAGTGTAGCAATGACTCTCTTTTTTTGCTTACTTATTTTATAGGCGTTCCATCTAATGGTTGCCTCACATAGTCAGTGCAGAGCTCCACGCGCTTCTATCTTGCCAATCATCTTTCTCCAGACCTCGACCTACCATTTCCTCCTGGACCCTCTCCATCCACCTCCTTCTGGGCCGTCCACGTCCTCTCTTCCCTGGTGGAACCCAATCCAGGACTCGGCTCGGCCAACATTCCTCCATCATTCTTCCCACATGCCTATACCATCTTAGGCAGCTTGCCCCGATCCTCTCATTAACTGCCGTACCCACATCTATTCTCTGTCATACTACCTGATTATTAATTTTATCCAATCTGCTAAGACGGAGACACCATCTCCAGTAATCCATCTCGACCGCCTGTACCTTTATCTTCATGGAAAGCATAAAAAAGATCCCTAAAGCAGGAACCTGGTGAAACTTTGGGAAGTATAAGACATTACTATTCCAAAAAGAATCCTATTTAGCTTTAACATACTTAACATTGACAAATATTATTCTAATTTCAAAATCAAATCTTTGGCCATTGATTTTATGTGGATATATAGAAAATGCCACGGTCATGTCAACATTTCAGGTAGAGCTCCAAATTTGTATGGCTTGCTGGAGCCATGGTGCAAATAGTATGATGGTAAATAGTAACTTGGTAAAAATAGTAGAATTCTATCATGACAGTTTTATAAATTGTTTTTAGAGGTTTCTGTTAAGAGGGAGTGATTGAGATCACCTCTTAGCCCAGCTCTGTTGTGACTGATATTTTATGAGTTACTGAATGCTAGAAAATGAACAGTTTCGCGTTGCAATATATGTGGATGACATGGACACAGTAGTGGCTTCAAACATGATTTGTCTGACAGAGCTGAGCTCAAAGTAGAAGCTGAAAAATGCTCCAACATGGCAGGGATCACACATTATCTTAAAGATTCAAGATGAAACAATTTGGGATAAACTCACTTTTTTAAAAAAATTATTGGATAAGCCCCTACCCACAATTTCTGGCATACAGGGAGGGGGGAGGGGTTGTTCTAGAGGTGCAAACAAACCTATTCTAACCAGAGTGAGAGGGTCAAGTTTCATTACATGGGTCCGCAACGAAATAAAAGTCAACCACTCCCAGGCCAGATTCAAACCGGCGTCGCTAGGCACGAGGATGATAAAACGGGCAACACTCCAACACACTCGGCCATCGAGATCTCTAAGTGCTAACCTTACTTGACATTCACTCCAATAGGCCCTCCGTTAGTAGATGATGATGACAATATTTAAAGGAGTAGTGTTGGGTATTAAGAGGTATGCTTCCCCAGTATGGAGTTTAAGCCTTTCACAAAAACAGAAGAGCAGGTTGGAGATGATATAGAGAGCGTATTTGATGAGAGTAACCAAAACCTAAGCAGATGATTCAGTGTACTAGAAATTCTATGGGTGAAGATTGGAGATGAACTCAACAGACAAAAGCAGATAATCCAATAGGGGAGAATAAAACTGTACAGCTTTAGCAAGGACGTAAAACCTCTGTATTCTTGATATGGTGTTGTACACCTAGCATGTTGTAATGCTCCGGAGGAAACCAGGAATCTACTTACTAACAGACAAGCATTTACCCATAATCATGACAGTAAAAAACTATACATACATTAGAGGATATCGACTGCATCAACAGATGGACAGAAATAAATGAATTAAAGCTGAATGCAGATAAAACCACTGCTATTCTCATCGGGTCCAGACATCTCATTAGCTCCCTTCCTTACTTTTCTCTACTTAACCTCAATAACCGTCCGATCCATTTTTTCCCTACAGTCCCGAAAATCCATAACTGCCCTTAAACAACTCCTAAGGTTCCGTGATTGTATTCCTCTAAAAACCAGACAGCTCCTTGTAACCTCCCTTGTATTCCCCCACTTCGACTACGACTGTTTGGTGTATGGAGGACTATCTGCTAGGCTAGAAATGAGACTGAAGAGACTCATGAATTGTTTCATAAGATACATTTTCGGGATCCCCAGACGTTCACATGTTTCACTCTGGTACACCGAGTTGAAGTGGCTTTACTACTTCCCGACGACAATTCCTCCTTGGTGTTTTCCTTTTCCAAGTCTTCAGAACCAAAAACCCTTCCTCCATCTTGGAACTCCTTACTCTACGCTCCTCTATCCACTCTCTCAATACTAGGTCTCAACCTATAGACTTATATATCCCCTCCCATAAAACTTCCTTCTTCAGCAAAGCCTTCGTCATTTGTGCTGCTTCTTTATGGAACTTACATCCTACCTCCATGTTATATAACTGTATTATGACATATGCCAGAAGCATCTATGATCTACCCTCGCCGAACACCGTGTTCTCCTTAAGAAAGAAAGGGTTCAATAAATAAATGACTTTTAACTATTAAAGGTACTACTGTACAAATGTACTCCACTTTTATGGGTTGCATAAGATCGCATTATCTCCATGATTTACAGGAGAAGGGCTTTCGGGCTGAAGCCCCCCCAAATGATAAAATATAACCATGTCTTATGAAAAAAAATTCTCTAAAAGTATTATTAGTCGAGTAATAACATTTCATATGACTTCAAGAACCACTAATACTTCGTGGTTCTCATTTCATATAGTTTCTTTCTTTTTCTTCCAAAGCTATAATATTTAAAAAAAATTTTGGTTGAAGATGCGATGTCTTGAATATTATAACCTCTTTGGATTTTCTGTCTACTTGAAACCTTCGTTTCTATTTAAGAGATAAGTTTTGCTGAAAGTTGATCCTATATTGATTAAAAATGGCTGAGGAAATTAGTCCAGAATTGATTGAGAAGAAAAAACAGTACAGATTAGCTATGCGAAATGAATATTTAAAGAAATTTACGAGTCCTGATAAACCAGAAGGACATATCGTAAGTTTTATCATTTCAATGTTGTGATTTTATCTTTTTAAAATTTACGGTCTACATGAATCTAAAATGTTTTACCCTCTTGTATTATTTTACTATAATTAATTTTCTCATAGTTCTTTGCTGAGTTTTACGAGAACTTATATTATTTTTACCTGCAGTCATAATAAAACCAGAACTATATAACCATAGAAAAATAATATGAGCTTAGGCTAAATTTGATTTATCTTTAAGGATTTCTTATGAAAGTTCTTGGTTTTGCTTGTCATCTCTCTAATGTTCATTTTCACCTTAACAAAGATTTGATTTTCATTAGTTAATGTCTCTTAACATTGAAATATTCCATAACTCACAACTTAGTTACATCTAAATATAAATTAGATTACCTTTGAAATAAGATCATTAAAACATATTTTATGAGGAATATTTGGTTTATGTAATTAATAGTAAGCTTATATGGTTATAATTTCAGTTATTTAGCTATAGTTACTCATAAATAACTGCTTTATTAATATTTATTAAATAATTCCACAGTTTGATCCAGCTTTCCAGCGATTTATGTCGATGAAAGTAACAAAAATTGAACACTTCAGAGAAACCCCAATTACCATTCTAAAGGGAATGTTTATGTTTGTGATACCACTAGGATGTATGCTATATTATTATAAAAGTCGTAGGGTAAGTAACTATGATATTATTAAAAAAAAATAGTAAGTTTGAACTTTTAATAAATTATACTACTATTATGATGAAATATTTTATTTCAGGACCAAAAAGAAGCTTTGTTACGTTCCGGGCAAGTCCCCTACAGCAAAAGATTGTTCAAATTTCAATAAACTATGGTTCATTGTTGTACAATAAATTTTGTCTGATATTATAGAGAATTGTTTTTAGTTATTAAAGTTACATTATTTATCTTAGTATTGATTGTTTACAAATATTCATTTTCCTTGCCTTAGAAATTTTTATATTATAACATTAAGATATTAAAAAAAATTAAGATATTCATAATTAGAGTTCTTAATGACCAGGGATTATTTTAATTTTGAGAACGGCAAAGTACTGACAATGTGTGTATGTTATTATATTTTTGGTAGATTGCCTATGTACATCTTTCAGCATAATATGCGATTTCCTTGTAGTAGTACATTGCTTCTGGGAACACAAACAGCTTGGAGGGGACCCCCAACCTCATGTTGCTACAGACTATGGTCTCTATGGTGCAGCGGGAGACCACTCAGCTGAACCCTTTAAGGCTGATCTGGCAGTGTTCATCAAGCCACCTCACTCAGGGTTCAAAGACAGTGACAAATTGATTTAGATCCAAGGAAAAAGGCTGCTGAGAGTTAGCAAGCGCACGAGGATCCATGTCTAAAACAGACTGTCATGGAGCAAATGTAGGATCTTTTGAAATCCTGGAAAATCCTGATTCCCGTTCAAAGTAAACGGGATAAGGTCCTCACACTTACGCATGGTTGGAGTGAGGTGTCTCCAGTAGATTGATTACTCACATACTCAAGAGGGATTAAGAAAAACTCAAAACATAACAAATTTTGCAGATAAACCACATTGGTATTGGACCGACCATTTATTATTATAAATCACTTTTTAAATCGTATCGTATCAGTAAGAGTTATGTTAGAATTTGATTAGCTGAGTACTATATTGTATTCTGAATCTTAGTGCATTAAACTACGAATATGATTTGCTATTTTTACTTTCACTTACCTATATATGTAATATATAGTATGTAACCTGTATATTGTAAGGATAAGTATTGCAATCGTGAAAAATTTTCAAATCTGAGTTTTCAACAGAAATACACGCTTTGAGGTCCCCTGAGTCCAAATAACCAAACCCCTTAAAATGGTCTGTGTTTGTGTATGTATGTGATCAGCCTAGCTAAAAAATGAAAAGTCATACAAAATTGAAATTGCGTATTTGAGGTTTTTATAAGCCTGAGATGTTACAGCAACATTTTCAGCAAACCGAAACTGGAACTTTACATTATTGATTTAACACATTCTTACAATTTTCTCAAAAACGGCACTAACAATTTTGATTAAACTCAGTATATTATTAAGCAGTCTGTAATATAATTTAGGTTTTATTCTCATTGATGTTCTCTAACAGGGCTTGAATGGATTATTTTCAATATTAGCTTTCTTTAATTTTTTTTATTTGAAATAATTAACCATTTCACATTAATCTTAGATATATACGGACTCCGACAATATTATGTAGAAATAGAAAATCATCTTTATTCTGGGACTAGGTCCCTTAAGAATAACAATATTGTTCATGTAAATTAATAATAAAACTAGCCAAAAGACCTTTTGTTTTTTATATAATCATTTTGGTACCCCGACTTAGTAGCTTACTTCAGAGGAAACTTCTTAGGGCGAAATATGAGTTGTTAGCACCCATTACACAATTTTGAATTTCTTCTTCTTTGTCCACCCAATCATTAACGATGGAGCCGAAACATAAAACTGGAAGTGCATTGAAACGTATATTGTCCAACTACAGAATTCTCAGGCGGATTTATAGGTGTTTTCTTCCTGAGCACTATAATTTTTGTTCTTTCCTCATTTATGGATAGCTCCATTCTTTCAGATTCTCTTTGCAACCTTTCGCAGGACTCCTTGATCGTCTTGAGGGACAGTCCAATCATGGCCCATATCAGCATATCCAAGCACTTGAGTTATTTTACTAAAAATAGTGCCCGACTGGCTAAGCTCTGCTCTATTCACCACAACATGGAGGGAGTTGTTAAATAGAAGTGGGGAAAGGGAGTTGCCCTGACTTCACTGCGAAAGGTTGGCCCAGCTTCCCATTTATTTTCACTCGACTCGCGCTCTCATTCAAAGTATACGATATAAGTCAGCTTCTTAATAACAGAATGTACAATATCCTTCCAGAAGAACGCTAAGTTCTTTTGGTATGGTTCACCTTCATCATAGTATAGAGGTGAGCAGATTGGCAGAGCTACCATAGAAAAATTGTGGGTTGACAAAAACAAAAACAAAAAAAATCAACTTCTACTATTTGAAATTAAGACATTTGCTACATGAAAAAAAATGCTCTTAAACCCCCATTAAGTGAATAACTTTACTTTTTATTCACATTTCAAAGTACAAAATAGTCATTCAAGATTTATCAAGAAACATGTACTTTTAAGTATGAAATTTGTCTTCTTTTAGTTTTACTCAATTCTTTAAAAGCAGATTTTCAATAATGTGTTTATTAATTTATAGCATAATTTATTTATTATTTTTTAAATTCTATATGCAAAATTTTATTCCATCATTTACCTAACACTGGGAGAATTATTCCTATTTCTTTCTAACAAACCAAATAAAATAATCTCAAAAGAGCTCTAAAATTTTTATTTATTAACTCACTGTACAATTGATAAATTCTGAAGGGTTTAATAAATACCTCCTTTTATTGGGATCTAAGATGTGTGTATGATGGAATAAGCAGCTTCTAGACCATGACATCTTGTAGTATGATTTAGTCATTTATTTTTAAGTTTCAATATTGTATACAATATGAATAATTTCAGTAGCCCTAAAAACATAATATTAATTTAGAACATTTTTTATTGTTTCTTAAAAAAGAATTGAAAAACTTTGTGGCCAAAAAATTGAAGCTGAAACAGCATTAATGTTTTAATTTAAAACCAAATGATATTTTTCAAATGAAACAAACCATAATTAAATTGGAAACATATTACCGTTGGTTAATATTTTAAAAATAAATTTCATGTTTACAGAAAATAAGAGACGAAAAATATTTTTTTTGTAAAATAGCTTAAGAAATAAATCAAACTTATATAAAATTCATTTTAGGTATAATTCAGAAAAAGTTACTATAAACAAATACCAATAACTGAGCACAAAAAAAAAAAAAAAGGAATAACAGACAGAAAACATTTAAAAATTTATGAAAAATTCTGTTAAAAATATTTTGTTACTAGATTGAGCAATTAATTTTTATTGAGATAGATAAATGTAAGAAATTTGTTTCTAAAATTGAAAATATTAATGAATTACTCATAATCTTTCAATTGATATTGATTGAAACGGCAAAAATGTTTTGTAGTTCAAAAACCATCATTTTTATTAAGTATAGTAGATACATTCATTTTTTATTAAATTTAATTTTTAAGTGGTTTCTAAAACTCACAGTCAAACTAAATTTTTTTAATAATATACTTATCAAAATCTAAAAATTGGTAAGTTTAAAGAAATTATATTAATAAATAGTGCAAATAATTTTGCTTATAAGCCAAACATTCATGGTAAATGCTACGTTAAAAGTAGTAAAAATAAAAAAAAATAAAAATCCATTCTTAAAATTAATGAACAAAAAAAGCTTCTGGCTTATTCAAAAGTTAAGTTATTGGTCATGAAAAGAAGTGATGCTATATATGCAAATAAAGCCACAGAGAAAATAAAGTGCACATGTCTGGTTTGCAAGAACACATTATATAGTAACAATATATATATAATAAATAACATATAGCACTACAAACTCAATAGGCCTATTGTCTAAAATAAATTTAAGAGGCACAGGAAAACTTAAGTATTAAATCTGGTATGTAAGAGAGTGTTACATATTATATATTAATCTTAATATATATTAAGGAAGTTATAATTATATTTCTATGTAATAAAGCGGAAGAATAGAATTATTTCAAAGATATAAATTAAAAGGTTAAGACAGATATAAACATTTTTTTTCTATTTATATATTTCTTTTACTTATTTTTACATTCAGTTTATCTTTTATATATATATATATATATATATATATATATTTTGTATTATATTCCATCAGTATATTTTATTTCATATGTAAGCTATAAATCCTGCATTGCTCATAAATTTTAGTTTTTTCATTCTTCATGCTTTTCTGTCTGTATTATATACCTATATGGGGGATTTTTCATAGTATAAGTTATACTTTTCTTTTCTTATTTTTCATATTGTAGATAAACTTTACAACAAATTAACAAGGAATATGAAATTACCCTAATAATAATTAGTACATTTTCCCATTACTAACTTGTAACTTAATTTAGTTCTTTTTAATTTAAAAAAGAAGTAAAAGATCCAATGTTTTAAAAATACTAAAAAAAATATCAAAGATGACAATATTTTTTAGTAATTTAAAATAACCAATAACATGAATACTATCTTTTATTTTATTTTTTCATTTCAAATAATCGTGATGACAATACATCCTTTTATCTTTGTGATTTAGAAATATAATTGTATTATATTGTATTTTTTGCTATTGTATATTATGTATTAATTAAGATACATTGAATGCTGGAATTCTTTTCAATTAGGCTGTTAGATTTAAAAAATGTTTTAAGTTTATTGTCCTAATATGAACAGAAGAAAGAATTTATTAAAAATTGTTCCCTTTTTTTTTTTTTTTTTTATCGTACTCATTTCAGCCAGTTTTTTTCCTTATTCCTTAGACTTGGAATTGTATGCTAAGCATATTGCTTTTAGAAGATATCTTTATGAAAATGGAAAACTTATATATAGCATATTTTTTACATATCTGGCCAAAATTTAATTTTTGCACATATTTAGCACCAAAAGACAGATAAATGCGTATTTTGATTAATTGAATTTATTTAAGGTATAGAAAATTGATTAATTAATTAAATTACATATTAATTTTTATGTGCATTTATATTTGACATGATGTTAATTATATTTCTACCTTCTATCAACTATGCTTCTGATGACATTATATTTCATTCTAAATAAAGTAAAAATAGTTGTAAATTGCCCAATAATGAATGTAAGCTTCGAAGTATTGAAGACTTAATATGGAACATGTATTTAGATTAAGACAATATGGAACTACTTTCCAGGAACAGAAACACCAAGAGTGGGCAACACAACTACAAACATTTTCAATAGTTTGGTTATTTACAAATACATTTAGAATTATTAAATTATACATTATTAATTAAATATTAATTACTTATATTAAAGTACACTCTTCTTTTCGTTAAAGATTAATGATTGTATATTGTCAGTGGGGTATCTAGAGTATAAGAGTCCATAGACGTGTTAACATTTAGTATAAGATAAGTTAATAGTATAAGAGAAATAAAATTTAAAAAAAGTTTTTTATTAAAATTAAAACGTTCTCACCTGAAAAAAAGTGTTTTTGCAGTAAAAATATCATTTAATTATGAAAAAAAAAACTAAAATAATTCTTAAATCATTGTTTTTTAAAATGTATTCATAGCTTAATATCTTTATTTTCTTCTTTCATTACTTAGTTGCAAATTATCATACTTATGGTGGCATATTATTAAACTTTTTAAGGCATATTTCAATGTCTTTGTTACATATAATTTTAGTTCTTTCTTACCATCAATCCTGCACAATAAAACAATATTTTATTTTAGATTAAATTTAAAATTACTGAAATAATGAATGAATTCTTGTGAAAATAAGTTTTTTTTTTTTTAATTCATTAACCAGAAGTGAGGTGGATATTATGGTTGGATATCAAGGAATAAATGTATAATAATATTTATAAATATATTAAATATTACAAATAATAATTACAGGCAGTTTACCAATCATAATGTGATAAAATAATAGTTTGTATTTTTACTAGTTAAGAAAAAAAAAATTATCAAAAATTAATTTTAATTTTTATTAAACTGATCTTGAGGTATACACTTAAGTGTGAATAGAAATAAAAATAAACAAAAAAAAGTTATAATTTAAATAAATGTTCTTTTTCTTTAAATGAATGACATCGAAATCGGCCGCCGTTTTGAAGTAGCAAAAGAGAACTAGTACTTTTTCTCTTTACAAAAAATAAATAAAAATAGTGAAACAAACAAATTTAATAAATTGTATCATTGTTGAACATACTTTTACTACAATAGTTAAATTTTAGATTTGTTGAAATGTTTTTAGAAGAGAATTTGATTTCTTTGTAATAATAGTTTTTAGTTTGTAGGGAAGTATTTTATTTTAGAAAAAACGAAAAAAAAAACGTGAAATCATAATTTTCCTCATTCCAAATTTACAGTGAAAGTGTTCAGGAAAGATCAAGGTCTCTGTAATCGGTTGGCTCCCCCCTCACAGAATCAAATCTGTCCCTCCCCTCCACCCCCTTCCACTATCAACATAACCTGTCAGGCTGGATGTGTCAAGTCTTATTCCACAACATCTAGTTGTCCGGGGAGGTTGGGGCCAGTGTCTAACGGTGTTTTCCGTGATATAGGGACCAACTAAGTGTATTTTAACAAGCAATGACGGATATCGCCGAGATCAAACTGTTTCTCCAAGAACATGGACAGGAGCACCTCCTTCAGTTCTGGGATAAGCTTAGCAAGGACGACAGAGACGAACTTATCCAGGATATTAAAGAGATCAACATTCCTGAAGTCGTCTCGTATTTCAACAGATCTTCAGAAATTCTAAGTGATGATCAGGAAAAACTAGATGATCGCTTGAAACCTATCCCTTCTAGTTGCTATGGTTCTTATTCCAGAACACCTTCAGACCTTCTTGCCAATTATGAAGAAATAGGACTGAGAGAAATAGCAGAGGGTAGAGTCGGTGTTTTATTAATGGCTGGAGGCCAGGGTACAAGATTAGGATCATTCAACCCAAAAGGCATGTATGATGTAGGCTTACCTTCTCATAAAAGTCTGTATCAAATTCAAGCCGAAAGAATAAGAAAACTGTGTGATCTTGCTGAAGAAAGATCAGGAAACCCATGTATAATCACCTGGTTTATAATGACAAGTGAGCATACTATGGCTCCTACCGAGGAATTCTTTGTAAAAAACAACTATTTTGGATTGGACAAGAACAATGTTATATTTTTTGAACAAGGTCTTCTGCCCTGCTTCACATTCGATGGTAAAATTATTCTTGATAAACCTCACAAAATTTCACTTGCACCTGACGGTAACGGTGGTATATACAGAGCTTTGAGAGATAAGCAGATTTTGAACATTATCGACTCTCGAGGAATTAAATATCTTCATTCGCACAGTGTTGATAATGTTTTAGTGAAAGTAGCTGACCCAGTTTTCATTGGTTATTGTGTCAAAAAAGGTGCAGATTGTGCTGGAAAAGTTGTGGAAAAAGCATTCCCAGCTGAACCACTCGGAGTAGTATGCAGTGTAGATGGTAAATATCAAGTAGTTGAATACAGTGAGATAACTCATAAAACTGCCGAGATGAGGAACAATGACGGTCGATTAACATTCTCAGCTGGTAACATATGTAATCACTTCTTCACTGCAGATTTCTTGAGAAGAATAGCCGAAAAACACGAACCAGAGTTGAAGCTTCATGTGGCCAAAAAGAAGATTAAGTATATCGACTCAGATGGAAAACGCTGCGAACCAGAAAAACCTAATGGTATTAAAATAGAAAAATTTATTTTTGACGTTTTTCCATTTTCTAAAAGCTTGGTGGTATGGGAAGTGAATCGTGAAGATGAATTTAGTGCTCTCAAAAACGGAGACTCTGCTGATAAAGATAATCCAACTTCAGCACGTAAGGATGTGTATTCATTGCATAGGAGATTCATTGAAGCAGCTGGTGGTAAATTCGAAGATGGCCCAGTTGTTTGTGAAATTTCTCCTCTGGTTTCTTATGCAGGAGAAGGTCTTGAGCCTATTGTTAGTGGTAAAGTGTTCAAATCTCCCCTTTATTTGCGCGCTCCTGATGAATGACTTAATTATAGAGAATAGAAACTGGTTTAAGACTGTCTCTTTTGAGACAACCTGGCTGAAAATATGTTCTATCTGTCCTCGATCCAATGCGGATTATTGTTTATGACCTGCCCATAAATGAAATTAGAATATTTTTATTTATAAATAAATATACAGTTCCTACTATCATCACATGTGAGATTAATATTTTTAGTTATATAAAAAATAAAGCATTTTGAGTTCAGAATTATAACAGCTTATGGTTTAAGGGTATGGATTTTTTAAAATATAAATATAGGGCTTGAGTACTTAAAATAAGTACTAGTTACTGCTTGTTATCTGCTGAAGGAGTTTTGCTTTTTAATAAAAATAGCAAAATTCAATTCAATATAGAAAGTTACCACTTTAATGACACAAATTGTAAATAAAATTATGGCACTATTTGAAAATTCTATTGTACAAAGTGTTATATTTTTATATAAATTTGAAATTTAAGTGCAGTAATATACTTTATAAGTTTATTACTGATACTATACCTTATTGTGATATCTATGTTTTTGTATGTTTTGTACTTAGTTCATGTTATATTTTTTGTTGGATTTTGTTTTGCGTTATTAAAATTATTATATATATATATTACTTAATGGCTTCCAATTTATTAAAATATATGTTTATTTAGCATTGTATAGATGTTTATTTCTATGAAAATACTATACTACTTAATGGAGATAATTTTTTTTAAATTAAGAAATAGTCAAGCTAAAAGCTTTTAATTTTTTTTAATGATAAAAATATGTGTTCGACAAAATTATTTAATTTAATTAGTAATAAATGAATTTAATTAAATATATATATATAAATTAAAGGGAATATCCATAATGTACAGTTATTTCTGTAATATGAATTCAACATAATATTGTGTACTAACTTTTTAATGACGAATTGTTTAAAAAAAAACAAAACAAAAAAACTGGTTTTAGACTATGTGAAATAAAACAGAAACTGATAAATTAGGTTTTTACCAATAAAAAATAATTGAATTTGTTAAATGTGTCTTACTTTTACCTTTTTTCTTTAAAACACTTATTATATAAATAACACCATTATCATGTAACAATACTTACCATTAATAAGATAAATGTTAAACAATAAATCTGTGTCCAGCTGTTAAACAATTCAATTATAAAAGCTACACATTTGGCGGGTATTGTTCCAGTTTTGCCATCCCAGAATATGAAAATTTCATAATTTTGAGAAAAATTAGTTTGAGTAATTTATTTTTATTCTCAATAGTACAATAAATTCAGTAAAACTATTTTTCAATGAGATTCAAGAGAATATTTTGATGTTTTTTACAACCTTATAATGAGATTACAACTACTAATTACATTAACATATTTAGGTACATAATGATAAGTAAAAAATTGTTACGTTGTTTACTTATTTGGATGTCGTAAACGAACTGGTGTTGTTGACTTTCCCTTTCTACAAATTTACATATCTTTTCAAACTCAGGACTGTTGGCTAAAAGCATTTGTTATTTTATATTTTAAGTTCCTATTATTCTGTTCACTAGCGGATCCAGGATTTAATTGGAGGGGGGGGCTTCAGCCCGAAACCTTTTTTTTTTCCATAAAAATAACGATAATTACTTTGGAAAAACAGAAAGAAACTAACTACCTATATGAAGTTATCCCTTAAGTACTTTTAAATGTAATTACACGAACAATAATACTTTAAGAGGTATTTTTAAATTTTTTTTCCCATAAAACATGGTTATATTTTTCCATTTTGGGGGGCTTCAGCCCGAAAGCCCTCCTCTCGTAGATCCGCCCGTGATTCTGTTCATTAGCGGATTCAGGATTTAGTTTTTGGAGGGGGGGCTTCAGCCCGAAAGATTTTTTAAAAAAATAAATAACAATAATTACTTATAAAGAAAAATAACGAAACTATAACTACCTCTATGAAATAAAGTTTAAGTGATACTTTAAGTAGTATCAAATGTAATTATACGAACAATAATACTTTTAGAGTTAATTAATAAATATTTTTTTCATAATATATGGTTATAATTCTTCTGTTAAATATTTAAAAACAACTCAATCAATATTTAAACTTAGGAGATAGCTTGGCTCTTTTCTTCTTTAAGCACACCAGTGACGGTATATTTTTCCTTTTTCGCCTCTCTAACATGGTGTTCCGTTAAGATACATTTTTTAATAATAGTTCATTACAAAGAGGATGAAACGGTGAACATTTCTCTTGCTTACAGTATGTAGCTCTGATATTTAGTTTCTGAGATATTGTAATCCATATCTTCAATAAAACTCGTTATCACTTTGTCTTCGGCACTATTTTTCATTTTCGCCTCTCTAACACGGCGTTGCGTTAAGATAGAGTTTTGAATAATAGCTCATTCCAAAGAGGATAAAATGCTAACAATTTACCAAGCTTACAGTATGCAGGTCGGATTTATAGTTTCTGTGACATTTTAATCCTTATGTTCAACCAAACTCGTTCTCTTTTCCCCTCTCTAACACGGCGTCACGTATACAATTTTGAATAATATGTCGTTACAAAGTAGATAAAATTCTGAGCAACTTCCCTCACTTATGCAGGTCCGATTTTTAGTTTCTAAAATATCTTAATCCAAATACAGAAACACTTCAAAAATTCACTGATGTGCTTAAAGTAGAAATGATCCGATAGCTTTTTTTATTTATTTATTTACATTTTATGCAATTTGCACCAGCGCGGCTGCACATTTAGCAAATTTGTTGTGTTTGTATTGTCTTAGTGTATTTGCTTGATATGGTTTAATTGATATAGTAGGTCTCTTGGCCATTCTCTTCTTAATCTGCGTTGTTCAGGTAACAGGGAGCAGGAGATAGAAAGAACCAGAGGATTGGAGTGATTTTGGGTTGAAGAATGAAATGTAGTGAATTTGTCGTGGATGTAGTATTTTACTGTTGGGGTGTTTAAGTCGTTATGTTTAGTAGGTAGTATTTGAAATGTTCCAAGGTGCCTTAACAATTTTTCGTAAAATTTTTGAATGTGCTGTTTGTATTGCTGAACCACAAAGTTCTGCTCCATATGTCCATAATGGTCTCAGTAAGGTGTTGTAGATCAGTCGCTTGTTTCGTAAGTTCAGTGAAGATCTGTAGTCCGGAAGATGTGGAAGTTGGCTATATCGTTTAGTAAGTTCTTGTCTTTTTAATTTAGTATGTATGTTCCAAGTAAGTCTTTTGTCTAAGTAGAGTCCGAGATAATGTTCATAGTTCTTTGAAGGCACTGGATTATTGGCAATCGTCATGGGTGGACATGAGGCTTTCCTAAGAGAGAAACTAACGTGGGTGGATTTTGTACTATTAATTTTTATTTTCCAGTTTTCAAACCACTTTTCAAGATCATGAAGATGGTTTTGTAGGACAATTGATGTGATAGTAGGATTTTTGTGTGAAGTTAGAAAAGCAATGTCGTCAGCAAAGCAATAAATGGTGGTATTAGGGTGCTCAGAGATATCAGGGATATTTTTTTATACTACAGTATTTCAAGAAGAATAATGCTTTTTAGGATACATTTTTTTTAATTTTTTCTTGATAGGACCTTACATTTATTAGCTGAAGAACATACATTACTATTTAAAAAAGAATATATTGTATTTGGAACAGATCACTCAACGAAACAAACATTCACCAATGAAAAACAATTATTTTTATATTTTTGGGGGAGGGCTTCACCTCGAAATCTCCCTGTAAATATGCTAGCGTACAAGCATATATGCGTATACATAAAAAAGAAATGTCCTTCAAAAACTTAAAATGCAGTGCAAATCCAGAAAATGGAACCAGGTTATTATAATACAAACTCAAAAAGAATAATAAAAGAGTTTTGAATTAAAAAACAAAAGGTGTGCTTTAATTCTATTTGATTAGATTCCGTTGAACTTAACTGCGACGTTAGCGGTAAGCCAAAATTTTCTTTTGTTATCGACACACAATGGGGCCGATCACCGACCCATATGGACAAAAATAACTTTCAAAATATGAGAAATGTAATATATCACCCTTTTTATAGATAGTTGGTGACCCTTAAAAAGTGGCCTAGTAAAATTTTTAAGTTCGTTTAAACTCGAAAAGTAGAGTACTTGAGAGAGAGGCCTTCAGTCCCACCAGTTGACTATTCAACTGAAACTATTTTCAGCATTACTTTATTTATAGTCTAAATCAATGCCTGAGTGATTTATTGCTTAAGACTGCTTTTGATAATTCAGTTAATTATCTTTATTTTCACTGAATTAATTTAGGTTCAACCAGTTTGATATTGTTTACAATTGGATTTAAAAAATAGCTTAGATTAATTCTTTTTTTATTTTTAAGGCTTCAACCACTAGGGTCAATATTGCCTTATTTTCATTGAGAATTAGATTGTATTTTCAAATTTAGAATATTTCAGAAAATTTTTAGTATTTTTTTTTATAGGCTTTTGTAATGTGATGGTCCACTAGCGGATCCAGGATTTAATTTTGGGGGGGGGGGGCGCCGAAGGATTAGGCGAAGGATTTTTTTTTCATATATATATATATATATATATATATATATATATAAAACGATAATTAATTTGAAAAAAAAGAAGAAAGAAACTAACTACCCATAAGACGTGTTGTCTTAGTGATTCTTGAAGTCCTATTAAATGTAATTACACGAACAATAATAGTTTAAGACATAGTTTTAAATTCTTTTTTTCTATAAAACATGGTTATCTTTTACCATTTTTGGGGGAATTCAGTTCGAAAGCCCATCTCTCTTTCCACCCTTAGATCCGCCTGTGTGACAGCCAATATGCTAATTATTATTGTACAAGGTAATTGTTTGATATATATCTATATAGGTAATTGAAGAGAAGAATCTCTTCTCTCTCCCCCTCCCTTGCAACGACTTTTATTCTCCCTGCAACACTTAAGGAGACAGGTAGTACTTGTTTTATTTCTTTCTTATTTCAGCTTTCTCAATTTCTTCCCTCCTTCCTTCCATTCCTTTTCTCTGTTTTTTAACTCTTTATTATATTATACATTGTCTGTACATCTTGATAGACTTTACAATATCTCAATTTTCTGAGACTTTACAATACTTACAAGACTTTACAATATCTCAATCTAACTACTCCGTTTTCAATGTCTTACTTTTACTATTTATTTTCATTTCTTATATAACTTCATATTTCTTTTTTATGTTTTACATTTTATTCTAAGATTCCCATTGTAACACTTATGTCACCCTTTTCGATTATGCCTACTTCATCATTCCACACTTTATAACGGTTATTATTATTTATCTCTTAGTTCTTAGTCATTATTCTAACAATTTCATTTTACTTTATATTTATTTATTTTATTTTTTATTTTATTTTTTTTACCATCACTACTTGTGTTTCTCATACCTTGTTATCTGGTTATTTTCTTAGCCCTGATGAAGGCGTGAACTTCAGGTCGAAACGTCAGCATATGTAAAAATAAACATT